GATCTGCAAGTACGGCCGCCCGGTGAGGTGGGGTGAGGTGGGAGCCGGGTCTCGCTGCCTCCGCCTGGACAGCAGCCGAGGGCCGCGCCGGGGCCTGCTGTGGGAGCTGGGGCAGCTTGCTGCCAGCACAGAAGCTGCTGCTCGTTAAAGAATTCAGCTAAATTGTTTAGAAGTTATGGTTTTATTCGTAAACCTCTTTATAAATAACTCCTTCCGCTTTTTCCCCCCCTTTTCTCTTCTCTCAGGTCTTCAGATGAACATATCAGCCACGCTTATCACCTGCTGCTTACACGGCTCCATGAGGAACACGCCGAGATGCGCTTCTCAGCATTCCAGATCGTGCAGGAGCTGTTCTCCCGATCCCATCAATTCCGGACCCTAGTTATTTCCAACTTCCAAGATTTCTTGGAGCTCACGGTGGGGACAGACCATGAGCAGCCTCTACCCCCGCCCAAAGAGGTGGCACAGAAGCTGAGGAAAGAAGCCATTAAGTCAGTGCAAGAATGGCATGAGAAGTATGGGGAGGCCTACAAGAAGCTTGCTCTGGGATACCACTTCTTAAAGCAGAATAAGAAGGTACTCTGTGATTTTATTTGAGTGTGTTTTTAGGTGGTGATTGTTAGGAGGAGTTTAAAGTGAGGAAACCAATAAATAGAAGAAAAAACATTGGCAACAACACTGTCTTTAGGAAATGGCCTGTTGAGCGTGGTCTTTTAAAAACAACCCCCAATTTTTTGTCATCTTGCTGTGCTGTGAAGTTTTAAAACCCACAAGCTTGTGCTTGGATCTGCGCTCAACTAGTCTTTCCTCAAGGTGCAAAAAGTATTGCTCACCAATAGGTTTTCACCCACTGATTCCTACCAGTAGCCCCAAACTCAAGCCCTTTTTAGAATGGAAATAATGGTTATACCTTAAACTGAGGATAATCAGCTGTTAAGTCTTTCTGTGTCAGTTTAACTGAGCTGTCCAGTTATAGTGTCCTTTTGTTGTACAATAAAGTAAGTGTAGGTGCTGTACCCCTTCAGCTGCTGTGTTAGTGTGGCATACAACTACTTTATTAAAGAGAAATTTCTTATATGTAAACACTTGCTTTTAGATCTCATTTCTAGGCTTCAAGTTACTGTGTTTGGAGTATTCTTCTGGTTTAGTTCTGAGTTGAGATTATGATAATAATCAGGTTTTCAATAAACATACTGATTCTCTTTCTCATCAGAAAGACAGATGCTCAGTGTTCCTAACAGAAAATCAAAAAGCCCTGGTGATACATGATGTATTTTTGTTCTGGTTCTATACTAAGCTCATAGTCTACCCTACACCTGTTACTTCATAGAATCAGAGAATGGTTTGGTTTGGAGGGGACCTTACTAGTTCTAATCCCCCTGCCATAGGCATTTATTATACTGTGTTCTTTTTCTACACAATTTTTGGTATCTGCTCAGAAAAGGTGATTGTCTTTGAATTCCCCTTTATTGTCTTATTTAACAAAGAAAGAAAACTACATGAAAGTGACAAGGAGAAATGCGAGACTGAGGTGGGGGAGCTTTAACACATAATACACTTACCAAATTGAACACACAAGTGTACAACAATTCTGCTGAAGTTTGGCATGGCTGTGCTCCTGTGGTTAAAGGCTGCTCCCCAGTTATATGTGGGTGGTCACTCTGTGTACTAAGCTACCCAGAAAGGTTGACTCTACTCTTTTCTAGAGGAGCTGAATTTGAGTACTTCTGGAAACATTGATACTAACAGAAACAAAGAGGTGAGATGAGACAACTGACCTAACTGGCCTTTTGCCAGCTTAATACTTGAAAAGTGAGAAACAACCAAAAGGTTTGAGGAGGTATTTATACTTTCTAATAGTAAAGTACATCTGCTGTTCTGTATTGCAGGTCTGGCACTGTAGTATAGGGCACTTTGAGAGGAGTGTTAGCTCTGCATGTGGTTTGTGGTTGTTGGTTTGGGGTTTGTTTGGTTTGTTATTATCAACAAAATCACCTTATAAATAGTTGGTCAGCAGATGACAACTACTGCCCTTTTAGGGTGTAAACCTGGAGATGTACTCACTGTTTTAATGTTAATAGGAGCCAAGTAGGTACGTATACAAATGTTTGACTTCAAGAACAAGTTGCACATCAGGGCAACTGAATCTTATTATAGTATCTTTGTATTTGAGGAATGCATGGATGGAGTTATGGAGTAGGCTGGAATTCCAGAGTGAAGAGGATTTTCAACAGGTCAATACAAATATATTGCTCCTGTATACCAGTATTTTTGCACAAGTTGCAGTAGGTGCCTAGGCTCACTTCTTACACCTTCTAAATCAAGAACAGTTGCACCTCATCACATCCAGTTCCATAGTTACAGAAGGTTTCATACAGCCTGCACTGATACAAAGGGAGAGCAACTCTGATCTTAGCCTGTATTATCTAAATGATGTTAGATGTTTTGTAACCAAGCTACTGAGTTAGTGCTGACACCAGATAGAAGGTGACTCCATGTGCACATCTGTAACTCAGGCCCTGAGTTATTCTGACCTTGTGAGGCTTCTGTAAGAGGCTGCTGTGCCCTGTGCTGGACAACTCAAAGTTCCTTGCATGCAGTAGATTTGGTTGGTGATGGATACCTTGTATGTGAGGTGTGCTCTAGTTATCAGTGTCAAACCATGACAATTTCTCAGGTGTTTTAAGAAGGGCATCTGGACAAGTGCCGAACTGTGAAACAGTGCAGTGGAGCAGCATGTGGCTGGTCCTTTTGGGACAA